TTCTTCATGATGGCTCCGCTCCCCCTCTCTGTTCTCTTTCACTCCTTTATATATCTTTTGCATAAGGCAGGAACCCTTTGTCCCTCTGGGTTTCCACACACCCCCACACACACTGGAAAAGAACCAGGTTAAAGATGGATTCCAGTTCAGGTGACATGATCACATGTCACTGCAAGACTTCATTGCCCACTTGCCAGCACACACATATACAGGAAGACTAACAGGTAAACACAGGTTTCAGAGTAGCAGCTGTGTTAGTCTGTATCCGCAAAAAGAACAGGAGTACTTGTGGCACCTTAGAGACTAACAAATTTATTAGAGCATAAGCTTTCGTGGACTACAGCCCACTTCTTAAACACAGTCATCTGCAGACAATGGTCCTGGTTAATGGGAGTCATCAAGATTCCAAACCATCATTAATGGCCCACACTTTACATAATTACAATAGGCCCTCAGAGTTATATTTCATATTTCCAGTTTTAGATACAAGAGTGGTACATTTATACAAATGGGATGATCACACTCAGTAGATTATAAGCTTTGTAATGATACCTTACAAGAGACCTTTTGCATGAAGCATATTCCAGTTACATTATATTCACTTATATTTTTATAAAACCATATTGACTGCGCAACGTCACATTCAGATCTAGAGTTTTGGGTAGACCATGTAACAGGGTATCATGTGCTAGAAATCCTTCGTGGATATGCAAAGCTATTTTGCTGACTCACCTGGAAACCAGACCTGGTGGGTCCTATGTGCTGCAACCCAAGCATATAAAAGAAGTAAAATGTCCCTCTCTGAGGCAGAAACACAGAAGTTTGCAAGGAACCATGTTTGAAACAGTGAGGTTGATCTGTTGTAATTTAAGATAGCACTAAAGAGAAGTCTGAGGCAGGGGGTAAGTTTGTCCCTGACTCAGTGTGTGTATAATGTGTCAGAAACAGAGTTGGGGTGTCTCCTGTTTACATACCACTATAAAGAGATGGGCCAGTTGTGAAATCTGGAACTTGATTATACATGTATGCATATCCCTGCCTGCTAAAAGTCTGGGAGTGTTTGAATCTTGGGTTTTGGCTGCTCATCTCCAGTGTGAAACTCTGCAGAAATCCCTGCATGTTGCCATTTTTAAAATGAATCGCCTGCCCTCTTCTCTAGCCCCTGATTTTTGAGGAAGTTTGGCTCCAGATGTAGATTCCAACTTTACAGTCCAGTCAGGGGTCGGCAACCTTTCAGAAGTGGTGTGCCAAGTCTTCATTTATTTGCAGTAATTTAAGCTTTCGCGTGCCAGTAATACATTTTACAGTTACAGGGGACAGCGGATGGAACCCCAGACTGGCAGCAGGCTGAGCGGACCGGCGGCTGGGACCCCAGGCCGGCAGTAGCATGCCACAGTAAATCAGCTCGCGTGACGCCTTTGGCACGCGTGCTATATGTTGCTGACCCCTGGTCCAGATCCATCTCTAGTGTCTGCCTTTGGCCTTCACTACAGGCTAGAGCAGGGGTAGGCAACCTATGGCACACGTGCCAAAGGCGGCACTCGAGCTGATTTTCAGTGGCACTCACACTGCCCGGGTCCTGGCCACTGGTCCGGGGTGCTCTGCATTTTAATTTAATTTTAAATGATGCTTCTTAAACATTTTAAAAACCTTATTTACTTTACAAACAACAATAGTTTTGTTATATATTATAGACTTATAGAAAGAGACCTTCTAAAAACGTTAAAATGTATTACTGGCACGTGAAACCTTAAATTACAGTGAATAAATGAAGACTCGGCACACCACTTCTGAAAGGTTGCCGACCCCTGGGCTAGAGGGTCTTCTCCACTCAGCAGCCATGTGAGGGGTAAGAGCACGTACTGTTCTGGGCATTGTTCCAATAAGACACAGAAACTAGAAATGGTCCCATGCCTGCAACATTCAGCTCCAGGCCTGGAAAGGGTGGAAATGCTGGGTGTCAAGTATTGGTTCCGCCCATTATAAACAGAGGCCATTTGAAAATCCACGCTCAGGTTCAGAAACTGGCTATCCCAAAAGTTTGGATTTGGCTGAAGGTGGTCAGAAGACCCTACAGTCAAAGGAAACTGAACACATGGGATAAACCCACTTGATCCTAATGGATGATCTCTGATCAAAGCACAACAGAAAAGTCCTAACACCCTGGGCCAGGTTTCTGTCCAACTCCAGATCTGGAGATCTGTTGATCCCAACGAACAACACTGGCTATCGTTTCACAGCTAGTCCCAGCAGTGCAGATCCTGCCCCAGCCTCCCACTTTCTAAATTCAGTATCATTGGAGGGTAACGCTTTTATTCCCATATTCCATGCTGCTTTACCAGACAGGCTCTCAAAGCTAATTAAGCTTAGCATTATCATTGTTTTTATCACATTAAGATCCCACTTGGCTCGCGGCAGCACAGACCACAAAGTCAACACTGCATCTTTAAACAGAAACAACAGATTTTAGTTCAATTAAAAATTCATTAAAATGTAAATTAGTTTGGAATTTTTTTTTCTTCCGATGCCTACTCAGTGTGCTACTTTAATTGCACAGAGCGTTAAGAAGAGTGGACTCTAGGCACAGAGAGAAATTGATCTCCATGTACTCACCTGGCTAAATGATCTTTGGAAAAGAGAAGACTGAGAGGGGACATGATAGCAATTTTCAGGTATCTAAAAGGGTGTCATAAGGAGGAGGGAGAAAACTTGTTTATCTGAGCCCCTAAGGATAGAACAAGAAGCAATGGGCGTTTAGGTTGGACATTAGGAAAAAGTTCCTAACTGTCAGGGTGGTTAAACACTGGAATAAATTGCCTAGGGAGGTTGTGGAATCTCCATCTCTGGAGATATTTAAGAGTAGGTTAGATAAATGTCTATCAGGGATGGTCTAGGCAGTATTTGGACCTGCCATGAGGGCAGGGGACTGGACTCGATGACCTTTCGAGGTCCCTTCCAGTCCTAGAATCTATGAATAACCCTTTTCCTTCACCCACTGCAGTTTCTGTTGTCACACAGTAGGTCTTCAGTTCACGCCAACACATTCAATCACCTTAATGATCTGAACTATGTTATTCTAAAGCTATGGTGAATGACTGATTGACATCATGCAACTTTGATTCCTTTCCTCTCTTCTTCCTTTGAAATTCTCATAATGCTCCCAGGAAAACTTTTTCCAGTAAGGCCCATCTTGAAAGCCAGCTGGTTCATAGCAGATTTGATTAGGTGTGCCAGAGTAAATTTACTGTCCATATCCCTTATAGAATCTGCTGCAGCCCTGGAGGTGTAAGTCCATACACACTAGACCATGCTTTGCTTCAAATGTGCTATAAAAATATGTGTGCACATTATTTTTTATATCTGTGTTTTATTTTAGTTTTCTTAACATGGCAAACTCAATCACTATAGCAAGTTCATTAGGTGTCCTTAATTGCTAAGAGCACACTCAGAACGTATGGTAAACGCAACGTAATTGAGAACTAATTAACTTGTTATAGTTATCTCGTTATATGCCAATTAAACTTTTAAACATTCTTTCCAGTAGATAAAGGAACAATAAAATTCCATCGGGCCAAATTCAGAGCTGGGGTAAATGGGGCAACTCCAGTGACTTCAACTTGTTTTAAATTTCTCTCTCTCCTCTTTGTCCATAAAAAAGATCCACACAAACAAGGGAGGAGGTTAGGGGGATGACTGACTCTTCCACAGAAGCAGTGGAAATGTTTATGCTCAAACTGTTGTCAAAAGCAAACAAAATCAAGAATAATATTTTCTTTAACCTCTTACAGTCCAGTTATCTTAGGTGTTACTTGTAATAACAGGTAAAAAATATTCAAATCAGAGAGTGACTGTTATGTTCACAGTGTCTCTTTAACGTTTGTGAAACATTTTGAAGGTGAAAAAATCAATTAAGTGTTAATTATTAAAATAAAAGGCAAACTCTCTGGGACTCTTGGAACTCACAGTAAAATCGCTGCATAGATTTATTTATCACTGTGAAAAGAGACATGGGTATGAACATACCACACGGGGGCAGGGGAAACTAATGAGATCTTCCCATCCTGGGAGATATTTCCCACTTTTTTTTTTCAAACTGAAAATGTATGAGGGAAAGGATTAATTCTGGAGCCAGAATATTATAATAATGAGAGCTGGGGAAGAGATCGTTAGGTGCTCATATACCATAGTGCTTCATGGACTGGATTAGATTAGATGAAATAATCTCTTGAAAGCAAAGAGGGTGGCACCTTTGCGATACTAGCCAGCCACGAAGAGCCAAATCCGGCCTTGGCAGGTACTTTGGGAGTTGAGTCTATTTATATCTAAGATGAATCTGGTCCAAAAAGTTTAAATTAGAGATGGGTCTGGGTAGGTCAAATTGTTTAAGACCATCATGCCTACCCACACATCCCCTAACTTTCCTCCAAATCCCAAACTGAACCTGTCTTTTCTCTCCTTGCTATTTCCAGGAAGCTCCATGGTACAACGAGAAAGGCTGTTCTCAAGCGATTTTCCCACCCAACTTTTCCGTAGCCAAGACGACAAAACCCATCCAGAGACCTTTTAGGTATTTGCTGAATCTAAACATTTTGAAGGTCTCCTATAACTTCTGTGGTTTAAATCAGCACAATTCCCGGAGTGGAAAAAGTGTGATGTATGTTATGGAGGTTACTGGCAGCACACCAGAAGACTGGACTGCTCTCTCCTGTGCAGTTCCCCAAGATGTGCTAAAACAGCAATGCTTGCACAGTCAAGTATTGTGTGTTTTTATTACATTTTTACAATGTTTTCATTACGTGCTTTTATTCTGTTGTTCTAAGCTGCTATAATGAAAGCTGGAGCGATAAAAGTTGATTGATCACTATATTTCCATGTATAAATGGAGATTTTTTTTCCCACTAGGAATGCGTGAACCTCATAAGGTTCATGAGTTTGACTGAATGCAAAGTCCAGGCATCAAATCCAGCTCTGGTGCAGACTCGCTGAGATCAAGACATTTACATTGATTTTTCTGAGTACTTGTCTAGTTATTGGGACATCAAGTTTGCAAAACTGGGCTGGAGATCTGGTGAGAAGGTCTACGTGAGATCTAGTGGTTTGTTTCATCCAAGCTTTTTTGTTAGTTTGGTATTATGTGGGTTCCCATGTCCTGAAATTCTAAAAACTAAAGGAGTTTTTATTTGAAAAATGCCATAGTTGACTTCAATGGGAGTTTTGGGTGCACAGGGAAAGCAGGGTCAGGCCCTTAGATAAGGATGTACGGTTTATAGTTGAAGTCAAAGTAATTGTAATGTGTGGATTCCCTAGTTCTTCTTCAAGTGCTGATTTTTATGTGTGTAACACTGTGGAGTATGCATGAGCTCCTTGCATCTGAGACCATAGGATTCTTGCTAGCAATGTCCATTGGTCTGGCCTGTGTTCTTCTCCTCCTCATGCTCCAAACCAAGGGCATAAAGGGGTGATGTCAACAGACCACCTCTCCCATTCGTTCTCTACTGCCACATGGTCTGAATCAGAACCCTCCAGCATCCCAAGCTGTTCTTCTGTCTTCAAACCTGCAAATATTGTAGAGTTATTGTTAGTTAGATTTAGCTCTAGTTTTCCTAGAATTAATTTCTAGTTAGAATGTGGGGACTTCCCTTCCCCTTGGGGAACCCCCTTCCTTCCCAATACAGGACAGAGATTATGCCCCCACGCCTTTCCAGTCAGCAACGACCATGAACAGTGCCTTTATTGCTTGGGAGAAGCCTATTTTTCATGGAGTGTACCATTTGCTGCTCCTTTCCCAGCCTCACCCAGCAATCACATGAGTTCAGGCTTAGGAAACATCTCATGGATTGTGCAACGAGGCCCCAGTCTAATCCCAGGCAGGCCAGACCTGTGCTTTGGACAGAAGTGTTGAGAAGTGCGCCTCCTAGCACCACGACAAATTCCTCTTTCTTCCCTCATCAGGGACCACTCTCACGATGGGATACTCATCCAAGAGGTGGATTCCCTTTTCTGATGGGGAGCCGTAGATCTGGTGCCATATCAACATCAAGGAAAGGGTTTTCACTCCAAATACTTCCTGATCACTGTAGAGGAGTGGACTCACCCCTGCGGCGTCCTGGAGCGCCCTCTGCAGACCAGTGGTCCGCCTGTCCTCTTCTGGCCCCCGTGTCCCTCCCAGGACCCCAGTGCCCTTATCTGGGGGGGGCTGCCCTCTGGCAGAACCCCTTTCCACTGGGTTTCCCCTCCCCGGGGAACCCTCACCCACTATCCCTACCTCGCCTCAGGATAAGGCCACTGCCAGTCACCAACTAGCCCCCGCTCTCTGGGGCAGACTGCAGTATAGGCCACTCATCATCAGCAAGGTTGGATTTGGACCTGCTGCCTTGGCCTAGCCCTGGGCTGCCCTCTGCAACCCCCAGTACCTCTTGGCCTTCTGCTAGGCCACAGCCTGGGGCTTTCCAGGCTGGAGCTCCCTAGCTCCTCTGCCTTTCCCCAGCCCTGCTCCACTCAGGTACCCTGTCTCTAGATCCCTGCAGCCAGGCCCTTCTCTCTCTGAACGGAGAGAGAGACTCTTGAGCTCCTGGCTCCCAGCCTCTTATATAGGGCCAGCTGAGGCCTGATTGGGGCGTGGCCCAGCTGTGGCTGCTTCCCCAATCAGCCCAGCTTTTAGAGCTGCAGCCCTCTGCCAGGGCTGTTTTAAGCCCTTCCCGGCAGGAGCGGGGTAGCCACCCCACTACAATCACCAAGAAAAAAGGGAAGATGGAGACCCATCCTGAATCTTCGGCAACTCAATGTTTTTATCTGCAAGTTGAGGATTTGGATGGTCACCCTGGCATCAATAATCCCATCAATAATCCCATCCCTAGACAGAGACGGTTGTTCATAACGCTCAACACGAAGGATGCCTATTTTCACATAGACATTCATCTCTCCCACAGGAGGTTCCTCAGATTTGTCGTAGGTCCCAACAACTACCAATACAGGGCACTTCCCTTCAGAGTAGTAACTGTACCCAGTCCGTTTGCAAAAGTATTCTCAGTAGTAGCACACGTTTGTCACAATGGCTTGACCATCTTTCCATACCTAGATGATTGGCTTTTGATGGGCAGGTCCTGGCTGGAAGTTCTGACGTCATTCTTCTGGCATCACTTGGGATCTGTGTGAATACAGAAAAGTCTGTCCTGACTCCAACACAAATTATACAATTGAGAGGAGTGACTCTGGATTCTATCCGAGCAAGAGCTTGTCTTCCCATAGGCAGATTCCAATCAATGAACAATCTAATCAATCAAGTAAGAAACCAAAGACATCAGTTCATTCCTGCCTTATCCTTTTAGGCCACGTGGCGTCATGTGCCTATGCAACACCTTTCGCAAGGCTTCTCTCCAGTATCTGCTGGCTTGGCTTCGAACAGTTTATGTGCCGAGCAAAGACAGCATAGACCAGGGATTGGCAATGTTCGGCACATGGCTCGCCAGGGTAAGCACCCTGGCGGGCCGGGCCAGTTTTATTTACCTGCTGACGCGGCAGGTACAGTCGATCGCGGCCCCCACTGGCCGCGGTTCGCCGTCCCGGGCCAATGGGAGCGGCGAGAAGTGGCG